TATTACATTGTTAAATGAGTTATATGGGTACAATGCTTGCATAAGAGTAGACATGTTCTAACCAAAATAACCTTAAATTGTTATCAATATACAAAGATCCAAATCCATGTAAAATATTTAGTACTAGTAGTTGCTTTTTTAAATGAAATTCAATAACCTGAATTCTTTTTAATCTTATCATTTTTATATCCCCCTTTTTTTGTTTTCGGAGTAGATTCAAAGAGCTACCCTTCTATCCTGTCATATCGGTATCCTCCATTTTTCATTTCAAAACATGCACCCTGAATCTTATCTTCTTTGTTTAGCTTTTTCCTGTCCATTATCAGTAACAACTTGTAAACAACCACCCTAAACAATGACAAATATCCATAACCTATTGAAAGACCAAAAACCACACAGCCTACTTCTTGGGAATGTTGGGGTTGTGTTCTTAAGATTACTTCCTGCTGTCTGGGTGTGACTGCATCTTTAGGGGATCCTGTAAAGAAATTGGGTTAATTGTCAAGTTCTGGAAGAGCTAGCTGTATCATTTGTTGTCCAATCTTTTCATAATGGGAAACAGCAGACATATTAGCCTGTGAGGCTGGATCATGTCAGCTGGTCATCCTGAAATTGTCCTTTGCAAGTTGCAGTCCAAAGCCGATCTTTAGGTGGTGTTCATCAGCTTAGTGGCATTGTCATAGTCCTGCTAGAATCATTGCTTTGGGGCCTCATCCTTCTTTTGGAGACTTCAGAGATCACATTAGATCATATTAAAATTTTTCAAGGTAGTCTCTCTTCTTCTTTGGAGCTTATTTGTCCAAAGGTCTTTTAATTTCTCAAGATGGTTCTTTTATTTTCCTGGAAAGACAAAAACAAAATTCTGCCCAAGCCCTAACATGGGTGGTTCCCTTTTGGCAAGTTATATCTGCTCAAATGAAGATCACTTTTTAGTGATATAAATTAGTTTAGATTGAACTGTCATGTTGTTTGATGTACTATCATCTCTGCTAATTAAGAGGATTCTCTTGTTCAAATCTAATCATTATCAATTTTTATTTATACTTTCACTTGAAATATTCATTTTGTTTTTGAAAGCTGTTCTATTATTGAGAGCAATATGATGGTTTTTACAGTAGGCATTAGGTTTTTAATTGCTATGAAAAGGAGTTTCCTCCATGATGACAGGAAATGACTGAACCCAATTTGACATGGGGGCTGTGAGAGACCCCTCAAGGCATTTCTGAATGGTGAAGGGTTACTTCGACTGTCCCTCATTGATTTGCATTCAATGGTGCAATGTCTGCCTTTGCCACACCTTATACATGGTCCAGCAGGGAGGGCTATTCTGTTGAGATTATTCTTAGAAAAAAAACATTTGATTGTAATGAATAACTACTAAGTTGCATTTCTTTATATCCTACTTAGTTGCTAATAATAACTTTCAAGGACTAGAAATTTGCATTGCATTGTTAAATGAGTTGTATGGGTACAATGCTGGACTCCTACATCACCTTGATGTGCCATGTTTTATTCAAACCAGTGGGAGGCTAGATGGGAAGTCAGAGGGTACTAGGAAGAGAGTAGAAGGGGAAACTGCAGTGGGTAGGAAAAAAAAATTAAAAAGTTATACCAATAAAATAAAATAAAATAAAATAAAATAAAATAAAATAAAATAAAATAAAATGACGGGGCTTCTTATCCCATTGGTCATCATAGGGTATGGAGCACATCATACTTCTTTCTATCTGCACTGAACAAACTAATATCTGAGTCATAAACACATTTGCTTTTGTTAAATCTCTTAAATTTAAAACAGGTTTAGAAAAGATCACCTATTGTGACATGTACTTACTAGTTGTAAATAAATGGATGGATTGACCACAGATTTCTCATTTGATTGAAAACTACTAGTTATGAAAATCAAGTCCAGATATGAGTCACTAGTTGTTAGTATAGATTCACTCTTAATTTTAAGACCTGAATAAGTTTCAATATTTTGCCAAAAATCCTTTGATAAGGGACTTCACTATAATGAAAATCAAGTACTGTGAATGTTTTCCCCACATCAATAATCATAGTTAGATATTATGGTCCCCAAATGATAAATGTAAAACCCGAGTCTCAGAAAATTACCCTGGAGCATACACCTAGAAACATCAGACCTGGGAATCTCGCTTAGGTTCTCAACACTTAGATAAGACTGGGTTGTACTGTGTTGGCTCTATCATGCTCATGCTCTGCCATGTGCAGGAACAAGTTTCTGTCCCACTAGTGAACTCCATAATAACCAGATGGAGACTTAGTAATTATGAAACCTCAGCAGATAGCTTAAGTTTATTTCTAATTAGTTGTCATAGCTTAAATTTACCCATATTTTTAAATCTACATTCTTTTAAGTGGCTTTAGTTTCCCTCATTCTCTGCTCCCTATCCTGCTTTCTCTCTGTCTAGATGGTGACTGTGCCCTTCTTCCCAGTGTTCTCTCAGTCTGGTTCTCCTGCCTAACCTATTTCTGCCTAGCTATTAGACAATTTGCTCTTTATTAAACCAATGAGAGACTTTCACATACACAGGTGCATGGGTGCCCACTCCCACAGAGTCAAATGTGACGGGGTGGGTAGCAAGCAGTAGTCACCTGCAACATCTGTACAGTTAACTCTCAAGGTCTACAGATAGAATTTCCATAGCAGACAGCCCTATTTCCAGACCCCATTGTCCAAGAAGGGCTATTCAAGCTTCCAAAAGAATCTGTGGATCCATGAGTTACAGACAGATAATAGTTCCAAACTGGGTGAAGCACCAGAACCAAAGGTCAACTTAGCTCCATCAACTGGCAAATGACAGAAATATGACATCAAGATCAGCATGTGTTTGATCCCCTGATGGGCAATGATGGAAGTTACTTTAACCCTGTGTGGCTTCTGCAACCATCAATTCCCCAAGCAAAGTAGAAGACTGCAGCGAGGGGCAGTGGAAAACTGACATTCCTGCTCAATTCAGGCAGGTGAGTTCCAGCCACGGAGAACCCAACCTTCTTGCTTCAATTTCAAGTCCATCATGTAAAATGACAGTCTAATCAGAATATACAGGAGCCCATGATTATCTGATGGAACATATGAATGCAGTAAATAATATGACAATCAAAAGATCCGTGTAATAGATTGACTAACATTTATTGATAGATGGATAACTAATATATTATTAATTTTTAGGACAATATTCTTGATGAAGAAACTACTATTCTCATTGTGCTAAATGCACACAGTATTAAACTGGCTCCTATGACTTCGCTTTGGATCCCTATTTTAATGCATCTCTCAAACCTCAGCAGGGAAGTTTATATTTGCAATATATGGTGATCAATACAGGTACCCACAACTAGCTAAAGTGCAGTGCAACATGAATCTTAAATAATCTTATTAATAAAAAACAATCCTGGAGTCAGGTATTGGAGTGAACGCTGGAAGATCAGAGAAGCAGAACAAGCCACTGCTTCCTCACCTCGCCAATTCCTCAGCTGATCTTGTTTCCTCAGATTGGAAGTTTCTGAGTCCTTATCCCAGTGAATCTCAGCTGAACTGCTGCTCAAAGCCTATAAGCTTAACCAGCTCTAGTTCCTGGTCCTCATGCCTTATATGCCTTTCTGCTTTCTGCCATCACTTCCTAGGATTAAAAGCTGTTACCAGTCCTGTCTGTTTCCAGTGTGGCCTTGAACTCACAGAGATCCAGTCAGATCCCTGCCTCCAGAATGCCAGGATTAAAGGTATGGGTGCCACCATTTTTGGGCCTCTGTATCTAGTGGCTGTTCCTTTCTCTGACCCCAGATGCGTTTATTAGCTACCAAGTCCCAAATTCCATGTTTTTTTACAAAAGGTTTTCAGTTAAAATATAAATCATTCCCTTTCCCCTCCCTTTCCTCTCTCCAGTCCCTCCCAGAAACCCTTCCTCCAAGATTTCTCATATCCTCACACCACTCTTAAATTGATAGTCACTTTTTCCCTGAAAATTATTGTTACATATATGTCTAAAGCTATGTACATTCACTTATATATGTACACATGTCATATATACACATACATATATACATACATGTACACATATACACATCACATATGAATATACACATATATAAATGTAACACACACACAAATATATGTTTAATTCCACACACGTGACTTTAGGATTCACAGCAGTCCTTTGTAGCTCCCAATGCTACTTTCTCTCTATCATCAATTGGAGGATTCTGAGACATGGTTTCAATATTTCATTAGTCACAAGATATGACATATATATGGAGTTCTCTTACCTGTGACAAGAATGTACAAGGGGTCACTTGGGGTTGACCACACATGACAAGAGTTCCTGAAAGAGCCATAGCATCTATAGTTCCCTGCATTGAACACAGGACCAAGATGGAAGTTGGCCTGGAATGTCCAATTGTGGTTCAGGATTGAAGGCAGCCCATGTTCCTTGGGTACCCCTTCCCAGGACAGATGGAACATGTCAAACTGAAGGTCAGAGACACAGGACAAAGTCATGATCTCTCCTGACATCACCACAGGACCCATCAGGGCTGACAGAGAAGGTTTCTTGTATAAACCTGAGAGAAAAGAGGAAGAGACAGTTCGATAGTTACCAGCGTTCATTCACTCCTGAGTGTCTCCCCTACCAGCTTCTATTTTTTGTTTTCTCTCTGCCTCTTACCATCTAGGCCTCTCTATTTCTCCATTTCTCCTCTCCTCTCTTTCTCTCATTTTCTCTATTTTTATGTTACCATCTTTAGTCTATGACCTCATTCTGGACTCAAATATTTTATGCCAACTTTTGCTTATTAACATTTTCTGCCTGTGTTTGCATTGGTTCATTCCATCTGTCTTTTTAAAGTTTGTTTTTATGAGCATAATCAATTTTATCTAGCAATAATCTTTATTATGAAATATTCATATGCATGCAAAATATATTTTTATGCTTGTTTGAAAATATTTCTTAATTTTTGAAATTGAACTATATCATTTAATGTATTTATATCATTTAATGTTTTTAAAAGTTGTTGTTACATATAATTATAGATTTATACTATTAACAATATTAATGTTATTATTCTTTCTTGCCCCTCAACTTCCACTAATCACATTCTTTTTTCTTTTTTCTTTTGATTTTTTTCGAGACAGGGTTTCTCTGTGTAGCTTTGTGCCTTTCTTGGAACTCGTTTTGGAGACCAGGCTGACCTCGAACTCACAGACATCCGCCTGCCTCTGCCTTCCGAGTGCTGGGATTAAAGGCATGTGCCACCACCGCCCGGGCTCACATTCTTTTTTCTAATTGGTCTTCTCTATACTTTCATTTTTTTCCCAATTGTTTTACAAGTCAATGGGTTCAACTAGAGTTACTCATGATTTTGTTTTAATTACCATACCAAGTAACAGTCTTCATTATAACATCCTCATACAGCTCCTTTTGTACATTTTCTTCCCTCTCCCCCCCTTGTACAGCATTTCTGATCTCTTTACTCCCCCCATTTCGTCCTCCATGTCATATGTCTTTCATTTCTTTCCCACCCCTTTCTATTAAATTTTTCTTCCTCTCATGGTCACTTGCTAATTTCATGACCTTTAACTTTGCCATCCTATGTATAATTAAAATCTAGAATCTAATATCATTCTGTTTTTCATTCTTGTATCATTTACATATCTGTGTTAATTAATCTCTCTTTTCAAAGTACATAATAGTCCATAAATATCTATATTTCTCTTGAACAATGACCATGGTGATCTTTTCCCTCTTGTTCCTCTTAGTGTGTGTACTGCTCAAGTGTGGTAAGTCATCTGCTTCCCAAACACTTAATTCAGAATTTGTTTTTTGATTCTAACTTTATAAGACTTCTACCAAGAGAACCACATATATCATGTGTCTGACAAGTACTGTCTTGAAATATTTAATATCTGCTATAATTTTTTCATCTCTACTATCAAAGTTTCCATGCAGGCTTCTGTCTTTTTGTAGATTTTCTCTTAGCACACATTCCATGTTTACTAATTCTCAGCGATTCATGGGTTCCACCTGTGTGAAGGCTTAAAGACTCATTAAGAACCAGTCCAATTAAGTATTTGGACTCAGGTCTGACACATGATCTGTCTGGCTCTTTTGGTAGACTTCTTATAGAGGTAGAAGTCAATGATTTTCTGAATGTCAGGAGAGAGACTTCATTCTCTCTGGTTCATATAATGCTCACCTAATTGTCATTTTCTGTTTATATCTACTTTGTACCTCCCTGTATCTGTGCTTTATGTTATAACCAAGGGTCTCTTCTTGTATATTTCTTTTCATTGTCTATGCCAGTAAAACATTTAACAAGGTTGCCTTTATATAAATTATTTACACTCCTTTTTCTGGTGACCTTGCACAGTTTGTAGTGTATAGAATATTTTTCTGTATCACAAAGAGAATGATGAACAGGTAACATGCTCTTACCTGTGATCTTTATGTCAATGGGGTCACTGGATTCAGACCACTCATATGGAGAGTGATTGAAGGAACCATAGCATGTGTATGTCCCAGCATCATCAGGTGTCACAGGACCTATTGAGAAGTTGGCGTGGGAACCTCCATGAAAAAGTTCTGCAGAAAGCTCGAAAGAGTCTTTGATTGTTCCAGTTTTATGTGAAGTCAAAATGAAGGTTTCAAACATAATCTCTGAACGACACTCCAGTGTCACCTTCTCTCCTAAATCCACCAGGGGAGGTTGTAAGGCCACGAGGAAAGGCTTCCTGTAGACTCCTAAGAATAAAAAATTTGTATGAACCTGGTCAAAATCTCTATGTCTTTGAAGACCTGTGGTTCCCGCTCAATTGGTCTGTGCTCCCTGTTAGTACTCCAGTTTACTTGTTTTTGTCTACTTCTACTCTGCACACAGACTCCTCCATCTTTGTGTCCATTTCCCACTTATTTGAGTCTAGGATTAGTACAATATCTTCCCACTGGCTTGTGATGACAATGTGTCTTTTGAGTACTACTTCCATAGGCCCTATTGTTTTTTTCTAAGTCTGGAAAGTGCAGGAAACATCGCAAGCTTCACACCAGGCTGCTTTATGTGTCTTCTTTATGCAACTTTGGATTAAGTATAAACCTTGGCAGGATAAAGGAATTAGTATTGAACATAGTTATGAGGGAATGACTTCTAGCTCTCACTGTGGTTCAAACCCCTATAAGGCATTCCTGATCCAGGATCATGAACATTGTTTACTCTAACACGTTGATGAATTAGCATCCTGACCTTACTGCTCTCAGAGCATCCCTTTCCTCCATCTTAATTTGCCCTTGGCATGAGTTCCTATATTATTTTCCAGTTGCTAACATAACAAATTACAACAAATTTGATTCTTAAACAGAATACAATTATTGTG